TCACACCATTTCTTTATCTTCTCAAGTTCCTGTGAAACCTGTCCAGAGAGTTGCTGTAGGTTTTCACCCGATGCCCATACGGTAGTGTCATCAGCAAACAAAGCCACTTTCACTAAATCAGAAACCTTGCATATATCATTAATGTATAATATAAATAATTTAGGTCCCAAAACAGAACCCTGAGGCACTCCACATACAATATCCAGCTCACTCGATTGGTATTCACCCAACTTCACAAATTGACGCCTCTGTGTCAAATAACTTCTAATCCATTTTCAGAACCATTCCTCTGATTCCATAAGCTGCAGTGGGCGAAGCCTCCCACCTGAAGGTGCCAAGTGTCTAGTGAGAAAAATGATTATCTAATGTTTGAAAAATCAAATGTATTCCTTTAAGCAGCACAGAAACTGATGCAACAGTTTGACAAACAACATGCAGCTTCTCACCGGAGTTTGAGCGTCTCCGGAGGCATCAGCTCCAGAGTGTGCGTTGGCCCGTAAAGATTGACTACGTAGAGCTTCACTACCGGGTTGGGTTGGCCAGCCTGTGTGCAGAGTAAAGACTTTAGACAAAAGCGTCACATGATTTCACTGGGAAAACTCTTTATGCACCACTATTCTGAATGGTCAGTGTGACCTACTGTATAAAGTGCTCCACAGTGATGAATTGATTTGCGATGAATACTAAATTGAGAGCAGCCCTCTACATTCTTCTAAATGCAGTTAGACAACTATACAGTAGGTGTTGTCATGTGAATGCTATTAGGAGTCAGTGGACATGAAAAAAGCCTGTACATGATGCATTGCAGAAACACTTCACTGAAGCACTAATAAAGACCGTCGTAAAGAACAGGCATTTGTATTGTGTCAGTGGTCTCGTCTGAATGCTGTTCTGCCTACAGTCCGGGAAAAAACATTCCTCAGACATTTTAACATGGTTGTGATCCTAGAAGCTCATTTGTTACTCTGTATAGTCATCGTCTTTTTCGCTCCACCTGCAAGAACTCACTCTACAGTACTTTGATTTCCTGTGCTTTGCAAAATGACATCTGAGGGAGCACAGAGCCCCGCACAAAGCTACAGAGAGCGCTACAGGTGTGAATTTTGATTCAGAGATAGGCAAAGCTTCTGGGACTATCCAACTACTTTGCGAAAACTGTGTTACATGTGAGATCACTGATCACTTGCATTCTGTTCAAGTGAGCTAATTGGTCCCCTGCCTCTTACACAATGTACAGTCTCCGTGCACTGGTGGATAGTGGCAGCACTACACAGATTTTGGGACACTGATAACAAAACCTTTTTTCTTTGTTGTTTCCTTGTTGTTTCAAACTACATTTAAAACTTTGGTGTCAAATCGTTACAGTACCCTGTAGGAGAAATAAGATAAATGAACCACCTGCAAACAAGCACAAATTGTGTAGTTGTTGCAGTAGGATAGCCCACATTAGTGTTTGTCTATCTGCTGCTACTGTGGCTGCATCTGGTCCAGTGCATCTCTTTCCATGAGAATAATTACGTCCATGACAAATACATGTAATACATCAAATGAAATTAAGCTTCAGCATTCTGAAAGATTATTTTTTGCTTTCTTCATGAGAATAAGAAATAGATACCTACCTTATGTCTGTGTGTTACGTACAGAGTGAGAGCCAGAATGTTTTTAGCCTTGCTGAACAGACTAGCTTAAAAATGTAATTTCAGTTTGGAGCCAGTTTAGCTAGTTCCTCTTCATTTAGTGAATAGATTGCGTAGACTGTATGACCGATAACATGGCATGTAGAGTTATGGTTTCTAAACAGTATTTACCTTGGGGTATGGGTATTGTTTTCCTTTTGGATATGCCATGGCAGTGAAACGAGGTAAAGCCATGTTGGGCACGAGGCTGTCATTGAGGACCAGGAAGGCCAACCTCTCTCCGTCAGGTGACCACCAGTGTGCAATGTGTGTCTGAAGGATCTCCTCTGTTTGGATGAAGACATCGAAGGAGCAAATTATTTTAATGCCTTTAACACAAAATAACACAGGCCTAACGTGTGATCTTCCACGGTGTGACAGAGCCTTTTTCACTGCTGCTCCCACCCTCTGGAACTCTCCCCCCATTGTCACAATGCTCTGCCACTCTCTCCAGCTTAAAAAAAATGTTTTAAAGTTGATTTTGACTAACACTCAGCCTTGTCACTGATGCTTTTATATGAGAGTATGCCTCCTAATAAGAAATACACATACTGGAGAGTCTGGAACCAAATATTTGGCATTTTGCTTGGAAAATAGTTTTTTCTCTTTTACTTTCTTTTTGTTATTTATTACCTCCACCAAGGAGGTAATGCTTTAGGTTCTATGTGTGTGTCAGGACTGCAGACAAATGGCTGGATGGATCATCAGCATATGTTGTACAGACACTGGTGGGGACCAACCTTAGAAGTGATTACATTTTGACTGAAAAGGGTCAAAGGTCAAGGTCACAAAAATTATGAAAAAAAAGAAATCATAAAAATTTCCCCTTAACATGGGGCAAAATTTCCATTAAAAGTTATCAGAATAATTTTTGTTTGAAAATTGACACACAGATGTTGGGTGGCCAGTGTCTATCACCAGACCAAATTTCATCCAGATCTGAACCGGATTCCAGAGCTGATGGCCATTTAAAATGAACATTGATAATCCCATTTAACTTGTACTTTCTGCCATAACGTGGCCTGTAATGAAGATAGAACCCTGAAATGTGGAAGCGGACACCCTCTCTACCTTTAAGATTAGACTTAAGACGTTCCTTTTTGATAAAGCTTATAGTTAGGGCTGGATCAGGTGACCCTGAGCCTTCCCTTAGTTATGCTGCTATAGGCCTAGGCTGCTGGGGGGCCCCATGATGCTCTGAGTTTCTTTCCCCTCTCCTCTCCTCTCCTCTCCTCTCCTCTC